TTGAAAGGCAGAGATACAGAGAGAGAAGGAGAGAGGCAGAGGGAGGGGAGAGAAAGAGAAAAAGAGAAAGAGAAAGAGAAAGAGAAAGAGAAAGAGAGAGAGAGAGAGAGAGAGAGAGAGAGAGATCTTCTATCCACCAGTTTAGTCCCCAAATGGCCAAAATGGCTGGAGCTGGGCTGATTCTAAGCCAGGAGACAGGAGCTTCTTCCAGGTCTCCCATGTGGGTGCAGGGGCCCAAGCTCTTGAGCCACCTCCCATTGCTTTCCCAGGCACATTAGCAGGGAACTGGATCAGAAGAAGAGCGGCCAGGACTCGAACTGGTGCCCATATGGGATGCAGCACTGCAGGCAGAGGTTTCACCTTCCCACCACGGTGCAGGCCTTAAACGTACTTAATTTTTAAAGAACGAATAAATCAATTGGGAAAAAACTACGTAAGACTCTAGACTCACTTGTTTTCTTCACAAGATTTATTTTATTTATTTGAAAGGCTGAATTACAGAGAGAGAGAGGGAGAGACAGAGATCTATTTGTAGGTTCACTCCCCAAATGGCTGCAGTAGCCAGGGCTGGGCTGGGCTGGGCTGAAGCCAGGAGCCTGGAACTCCATCTGGGTCTCCCACATGGGCGGTAGGGGCCCAAGTACATGAGCCATCATCCACTGCTTTCCCCGGAACATTATCTGGGAGCTAGATCAGAAGTGGAATAGCTGGGACTCAAACCGTTGGTCACAGGGGATGCTGGCGTCATAGGCAGAGGCTTAACCCGCTTCGCCACCGCACCGGCCCCACGTTAGCATTTTTACTCCGTGTTACCCATCGTCGTCAGCTGAGCTGCTGCGCCATGCTGTTGCCATTCTCTCTGCCTATCATTCTGTGCTCATGAGTGGCTCATTCTAACATTTTTTTTTTCACATATAAGTTAGGCTGAATCATATACATCTGTCATGTTTAAGATAAAAAAAAAAAAAAAAAAGATGGGGCCAGTGCTGTGGCACAGCAGGTAAAGCCCTGCCTGTGATACCAGCATCCCACATGACTGACGGTTCAAGTCCCAGCTGTTCCACTTCTGATCTAGCTCCCAGCTGCTGTGGGTAAAAGCCGCTGCTGGCATTGTCGGCATCCCATACAGGCGCCGGTTTGAGTCCCAGCTGCTCCACTTCTGATCCAGCTCCCTACTATGGCCTGGGAAAGCAGAAGATGGCCCAAGTCCTTGGGTCCCTGCTCCCATGTGGGAGACCTGGAAGAAGCTCCTGGCTCCTGGCTTCAGATGGAAGCCATTGTGGCCACCTGGGGAGTGAACCAGCAGATGGAAGTGGAAGACCTTTCTCTTTCTCTCTCTCTCTCTCTCTCTCTGCTTCTGCCTCTCTGTAACTCTGCCTTTCAAATAAATAAATCAATCTTTTTAAAAGTATCAAAAAAGATAAATTAGCAGTTTCATACAGCTGAACCTAATATTATGCCTAAACAGAGCAGCTCCAGTGTCTGAACTGCGTGAAAGGGATCCCATTCCAGATGTCATCTTCTGGCTTTGCCTTTTTCCACTCACTATCATCTTATTGCGCACGCCGGCCGAGTGCTGGCTGTCATCCCTTTTCTGTTCATGTGTGTGGGCGCTCCACACGCTTGCATCATCCGTCAGCGGCACTGGGCTGCTTCTGGCTTGAAGCTACCACCCCAAACTGTTTCTACTAATTCTTGTCCACGCTCCTTCTCGGCACGCCTGTGCAGATGCTTCTTACGGCTGTACCCTAAGAATGAACCTGCACAAAGGTTTTCACCTGCACCCCATTTCCCGAATGCCACACATCCCTGGAGGGGATGTCGAGGGGAGTGGCTCTGCTGGAAACTGATCACCTGTGCCTAAGTCTACCCACTTTGCATGGGTCATCTTGCAACTCCTCCCAGCGGTAGCTACCATTGTCTCTGCAGATGGAGCTCAGAGAAGGAGGGTTCTTGCTCAGACGGTTTGTGCCCATTGCCTGAGCAAACAATTTCTTCCTCTCTAAGCTTCAGTTGCTCCATCTGTAAAATGGGAATGATAACATCTGCCCCGGGGCCAGTGCTGTGGCACCGCAGGTTAACGCCCTGGCCTGAAGCGCCTGCCTCCCATATGGGCGCTTCTTATGGCCGTACCCCAAGAATGAACCTGCACAAAGGTTTTCACCTGCACCCCATTTCCTGAGTGCCACACGTCCCTGGATGGGATAGGGAGGGGAGTGGCTTTTTAAAAGTATCAAAAAAGATAAATTAACAGCAGTTTCATGTGGCTGAACCTAATATTATGCCTAAACAGAGTATCTCTGTTTAGGAGGGTTCGAGATCCAGCTGTTCCACTTCCGATCCAGCTCTCTGCTGTGGCCTGGGAAAGCAGTAGAAGACAGCCCAAGTCCTTGGACCCCTGCACCTGCGTGGGAGACCCGGAAGAAGCTCCTGGCTCCTGGCTTCGGATCAGCGCAGCTTCGGCTGTTGCAGCCAATTGGGGGAGTGAACCAGTGGATGGAAGACCTCTCCTCTCTGTGTCAACAAATCTTTCAAAAAAAAAAAAAAAAAAAAACATACCTGCCCCACCCCACCCGGCCGATCAGTGGAGAGATTAGATAATGCTGTGCAAGGGGCTTAGCATGGGTTCTGGGGATGCTCCCTACCAGTCACTCACTTATTGGTGAGATGGTTAAGTTCTTATTAAGGGGAGCAGGAACCCAGGACAGCCTGAGCCCGGACTGCCTGCCTTCCACAGGTGTCGCGTCTTGCAGAGACAGAGACCCCAGGGAGACAGCTTTCACGGTGCCTTTGGCCACCTCTGCTGAGTGGGGCTGCAATGCCCGGCCCCAAAGCCGAGTCACTCTCCTCACCTGTAGGTTTCCCGGAACAGATGAGAAGGTGACCTGACCAGCACACAGAGGACCCAGGGCCCAGGAAGAAATCGGAGCCCAGCCGTTCACTCAGCCGAGAATGTTTCCTGAGTTCCTGGTCTGTGCCAGGGCCTGTGCGTGGGCACTGGGGACAGGCAACAAGGCCAGACCTACCTTCAAGGTAACAGGCTAACAGGAGTCAGGAAAGCAACGGTGCGCTGGGCATTGTGTGCGCTGGGCATTGTGATAAACCAGCACAGTTCCATAACGGAGACCCAGACAGACTCCAGGAAACCGCCTCGGAGGAGGCGTTTAAGACCTGCCAGGGTGCTCCCTGGACCACCCGCCCATCTAACAGAAGAGGAGACTGAGCCCAGCACCTGTTCATCACGCTCCGCCGGGACTCAAAGCAGGCCGCCCTGCCCGGCGCCCCAACACCGGCCGCGGGGCCCGCCCAGAGTCCCGGGGCGGGGCCTCGGCCCAGGTGCGCGGCGCCGCGCGCTTCGCGAGAAAGGAAGTGTGTCCCCAGCGGCGGCCCGTGCCGCGCTCCCGCGAGACGCTCACCTGCGCCCCAGGTGAGCGGCGAGGGGGGCGGGGAAGGGGCTGAGCTGCAGGCGGCTCACCTGGCGGGACAGGTAAGCCCCGCGCGGACCCGAGTGGGCGCGAACCGGGGCGTCGTCAGCGTGGGGAGCCCGCCGGGGCTGCGCACGGACGGGGGAGGGTCTCGGGCCCGGCTCCTCGGGGCCACCCTCCCACTTCCGGGGTGCGCGGGCCAGGGAGCGGCCTGAGCAGGCAGGCGCCCGGGCTGGGCGGCCACAGTGGGTTGAGAGGCCGCGTTCGCTCCTGGGGCCGGGCCGGCGCGGGGCACGGTCGGACGGACAAACCCCGAGGAACGGCGTCGGACGGGCGAGGGGCTGAGGCGGCCGGCGGCGGAGGGTTCTGTACCTGGAGAGGCTGGCGCTCGCCGTGAGTGCGGTGCCTTTGCGGGGGCTGGGCCAGGCTGGGAGCAGTGCGGGGGTCTGGATCCCCCGCCGAGGGGTGAGTCTCGGGCTGCGCCTTCGGGGTGCACGGATGCCCCGCGTCCGAGCCCACGGCTGTGTGATGAGCAGGGCTGGGCAATGGGCGTGGGGCAAAGGCCGGTGCGGCGGGGCCTGTCCCTGGGGACGCTGGACGGAGGGGCGGTCCCGAGGCAGACCCCCGGGAGTGTGTGTGTTCGTTCCTGGGCACCGGCACTGCGCTAAACCCGCTTCTTGCGGTCTCTCACTTAAACCTCCCTGGGGGCCCGCGAGGATACTCATCTCTTTTTCCAGACGTGGGAGCTGTGGCTTACAACCTTGCCTCTGGCCACGGTGCTTATAGGATTTCGGAGGTGGGGGCAGGAGCCAGGGATGCAGCCTGTAGGAAACCGGCGGGGTTTGACTTTTGAGGAGGACTCAGAGGCTGGAGGGGAGCGGGTACCTGTGTGTGGCACTCCCCTTCTCCCACACCCTCACCCCGTGCTGCCAGCACTGGGGGGGGGCAGGGAGAGCAGCAGGTGGGCCCCAGAGCGCCCCGACCCTGTCAGCTGTGTAGGTGTCCCTGGCTGTGGCCTACCCTGCTTACCCTGCTTCGGGTGTGTGTGCTAAGGAGGGGCATGACTTGTTCACAGAGCAGCCGCAGGGGCTGCACAAAGTGGGGTGTGGGGTCCTCTGGCCCCTTCTCTGCTGTTTGTTCAGCATTTAGCACAGTGATGTTATATGTGCTCAATATGTAGTTGCTGGATTTATTTAATTTTTATTTAACTTATTTGAAAGGCAGAAAGAGAGAGAGAGAGGGTGAGACCTCCCATCCACTAGTTCTGCAAATGCCCACACAGCTGGGGCTGAGCCAGGTCAAAGCCAGAAGCCTGGGACCCTACCACTTGATCCGTCACCCGCTGCCTCCCAGCGGGTGCACGAGCAGGAAGCTGGAATCAGCAGCAGAGCTGGGACTGACTCTAGCTAGCACTCCGATACGCAACGCGGTTGGGTTGATCTAGTCAGCAGTGCAAGTCTTCCGGCTTTGGAGGACAGCACGGGAGGGAGGTGGAAACTTCCTGATCCCTTTACAAAGCCCAGGAACCTGTGTGCTCCATGTGGCTGTAGAGGGGTGGAGGTGCCCACCTTCCTGACTACAGTCTGAGCCTGCCAGGCTCAGGGCTCCCACTGTCTTTTCCATACAGCTGGGAGTGGGCAGCTTTAACTGTCCCTTCCCTCACAAGGAACAGGTGCCATTGGAAAACAGAGCCGAGTCCTCTTTGAGAGAAGGAAGGGTTGGCAGATAGGAGCCTGGGGCCAGGCTAATGTGTGGCTTGGACAACTTTAGGACTGTGTGTGCTTCAGAGTAGTGGTAATAGAGCCTTAAGAGAAGTGTTTTATCACACCCGGAGCACTTAGGACAATGTGAGCTCCTTCACAACGCAAACTCCTGAGGTTAGGGAATTGTGTCTGCTGCTCTGCCCTGGGGTTTCAGAACAGCACCCGGCACACGGTAGACCCTCAGTGAACGTTTGCTAACTGAGCGAATGACTGAATCCATCCTCAACTGGACATTGCTCCAGCCACAGCGAGGATTTTTAACTGCATGCCCCAGACAGTCAGCTGTGCAGTTTCAGTTCCCGCACCTTTGGAGACAGGATTTCTCGCTGCCCCTCCCCCTCCCGTCACCCTCAGCACCCAGGTGCCCCTCCTCTCTGCCCAGAGGCCCCACAACAGCACCTGATGTACCCGCCCTGTTGCAGACACCCAGGCAGAAGGAGCAGCATAGTCTCCGCCCCTGAGCAGCCTCACGGGCCCTGGGGAGATAGGCTTAGCCTAACCTCAAGTACAAGGCCGTCCCAGCTAACAGAGCTTGGCAGAAGATCTCAGGAGAGCAGCTCCCGTCTGACCAGAGATCCTGGAGTGGTGAGTGGAGCCAGGGGACGGGTTGAGGAATTGTAGGAACAGAGAGCCTTGTGTTGCAGCCAGCGTTGCAGCACAGCCAGTTAAGCTGCCACCTGCAACACCACAGCATCCCACGTGGATGCCGGTTCAAGTCCCACCCAGCTCCAGGCGCCTGGCTTCGGTCTGGCACAGCCCAGGCCATTGTGGCCATTTGGAGAGTAAACCAGCCGATGGAAGATCTAACTCAGTCTCTTCCTCTCTCTCTGCCTTTCCAATAAATTAATAAATAGAGAGGGGCCCATGCTGTGGCACAGTGGGCAAAAGCCGCTGCCTGCAGTACAGGCAACCAACGTGGGTGCTGGCTCAAGTCCCGGCTTCTCCACTTCCGATCCGGCTCTCTGCTGTGGCCTGGGATAACAGTAGAAGATGGCCCATGCCCTCGGGCCCCTGCACCCACATGGGAGACCTGGAAGAAGCTCCTGGCTTCAGATCGGCCCAGCTCTGGCTGTTGCAGCCATTTGGGGAGTAAACCAGTGGATGGAAGACCCATCTCTCTCTCTCTCTCTGCTTCTGCCTCTCTGTAACTCTGCCTTTCAAATAAATAATGCAATCTTTTAAAAATAAATAAAGAGTGCAAGAGACAGATCTTTCGTCTGCTGGTTCACTCCCTAAATGTCAACAATCGGCAGGGCTTAGACCAGGCTGAAGGCAGGAGCCAGGAACTCCATTTGGGTCTCCCACGTGAGTGTCGGGGCCTAAGGGCTTGGGTCATCTGCTGCTGCTTTCCCAGGTGCATCAGCAGGGAGCTGGCTTGGAAGTGGAATCGCGGGACTTGAACCAGTGCTTATATGGGACTCTAGTGTCACAGGGGCCAGCTTAACCTGCTGTACTACACTGAGAGCCCCAATAAATAAATACCTAAAAATATTCAGGAAATTTAACATCATATACTACTATTAAGTAATTTCCAGTGTATTTTCTTTCTTTTTTAAAAAAGATTTTATTTATTTATTTAATAGGTAGAGTTATAGACAATGAGAGGGAGAAACAGAGAGAGAGGTCTTCTGTCCATTGGTTCACTCCCCAAATGGTCGCAATCGCTAGAGCTGCACCAATCTGAAGCCAGGAGCCAGGAACTTCTTCCCAGTCTCCCATGTGGGTGCAGGGGTCCAAGCATTTGGGCCATATTCTACTGCTTTCCCAGGCCATAGCAGAGAGCTGGATTGGAAAAGGAGCAGCCGGGACTAGAACTGGCGTCTGTATGGGATGCCGGCGCCGCAGGTGGAGGATTAACTTACTGCACCATAGTGCCGGCCCCTCTAGTGTATTTTCCAGTTTCACCAATTAACCACATTATCTAGTTTGCATTTTTTTCTCTTGATCCACAATCATGTTTTAGTTTTTATTTTAATTTTTTTAAAAAAAATATTTATTTTATTTATTTGAAAGAGTTACAGAGAGAGGTAGAGAAAGAGAGAGAGGTCTTCCATCAGCTGGTTCACTCCCCAATTGGCCACAATGGCTGGAGCTGAGCCAATCCGAAGTCAGGAGCTTCTTCCAGGTCTCCCATGTGGGTACAGGGGCCCAAGGACTTGAGCCATCTTCTACTGTTTTCCCAGGCCATAGCAGAGATCTGGATCAGAAGAGGAGCAGCCGGGTCCAGAACCGGTGCCCATATGGGATGCTGGTGCTTCAGGCCAGGGCTTTAACTTGCTGTGCCACAGCGCCGGCCCCAAGTTATTTTTTTAAAGATTTAAAAAAAATTTTAGTGATTTTTATTTTTAACATTTATTTATTTATTTGAAAGTCAGAGTTACACAGAGAGAGAAGGAGAGGCAGAGAGAGAGGTCTTCCATCTGTTGGTTCACTCCCCAATTGGCCGCAACGGCTGGAGCTGCACCGATCTGAAGCCAGGAGCCAGGAGCTTCTTCCCAGTCTCCCATGTGGGTGCAGGGGTCCAAGCATTTGGGCCATCTTCTCCTGTTTTCCCAGGCCGTAGCAGAGAGCTGGATGGGAAGTGGAGCAGCTGGGTCTTGAACTGGGACCCATATGGGATGCCAGCACTTCAGGCTAAGGCATTAACCTGCTGTGCCACAGCGCCTGCCCCAAGCTTTTATTTTTTTAAAGATTTATTTTCAGAGCAATGGGTTGGGGGGAGGATGTTGGTCTCCCATCCACGGGTTCACTCCCTAAATGGCTGCAATGACCAGGGCTGGTCCAGGCTGAAGCCAGGAGCCTGCAACTCCATCCTGGTCTCCCTTATGGGTGGCAAGATCCCAAGCACTTGGGCCATCATCTGCTGCTTGCCCAGGCACGTTTGCAGGGAGCTGGCTTAGAAGTGGAGCAGCCCAGGCTCAAACCGGTGCTCTGACAAGAGATGCTCTTGTGGCGAGTGGCTGCCCAACCTGCTGTGCCACAAAGCCAGCCCCCTTCACTAGTCATTGTGTCCCTCAACTTGGGCATGTGTGAGGTTTCTTAATGATTACAGTCAGATGTTGCACTTTTGGCTGAAGTACTGTATAAGTAGGCTATAGCTGGAAGAGGCACATGCTGTCAGTTCGTCTTACTGGCGATATTAACTTTGATCATGTAATTAAAGTGGTCTCTGCAGGTTATTCCAGGTTCGTGCATTTTCTTAAGTTCTTCACTATCTGCAGCAAGTACAAGGGAAGGAGGTTGCCGGAGTGGGAGCCTTGACAGTCTCTGGTGAGAGGCGATGGTGGCCTGTTTAGGGAAGTGGCACTGATTTGCCCAAGGCACATGGCCTACAATGGCCAGAACTGGGTTTAGAACACAGATGTCCTAACTTTTAGCCCAGTCCCTTGCTCCTCACCAGTTGAGGACACCAGTGTTCAGTCAGATAGTAGGAAAAGGGATTCGTGTTGTAGAAAATACAGCATGAACCAGGCGGTCAACCAAATGCCGCTACGGGGGTATACTCGGCTCCACACTCAGGAGACAGCGGCTTGAGACATCGCCCCACGTCAGCAGGAAGTAGCTCTAAAGACAGATCATCGTCCCTCTGCGCCTCCTGGGCTTTAGGGGCTAATGTAATCCCATACAACACTTGCTTTATAAAGAAAAGGGAGGGGGATGTTAATAAAACGGCACAGTCTGTGGCACCATCTACGCCTCACTCACCATCTTGGGCCCTGGCCCGCAGGCTTCCGTCCTAAGCCCCATGGCCCAACCACCGGTGTCAGCTCCACCCCCCCACCCCCACCCCCCCACACACAGTGGGATTCGCTGCTCCTACTTCCCTGCCCGCCACCCAGCAAAGTTTCAAGAGGACCTGTTCCTGAACACATGTCTTTTTTCCCTCTCTGTCTCTTGATCTCTCTTAGGCTCTCCTCCCTCTTTTCCTTCTTCACCCTTCCCTTGGGTCTATCCGGTTTCCCCACCAATAAACCCTTTCCCTTAAAAAAAGAAAGAAAAGAAAGTACAGGATGAGGCTGGTGCTATGGTGCCAGCATCCCACATGGGCGCCGGCTCAAGTCCTGGCTGCTTCACTTCCAATCCAGCTCTCTGCTATGACCTGGAAAAGCAGTGGAAGATGGCCCAGGTGCTTGGGCCCTGCACCCATGTGGGAGACCCGGAGGAAGCTCATGGCTCCTGGCTTCGGATCACTGCTGGCGTTGCAGGCAGCAGCTTTACTTGCTATGCTACAGCGCCAGCCCCTAAATAAAATCTTTATTTACTTATTTAATTATTTGAAAGACAGAGTTACACAGAGGCAGAGAGAGGTCTTCCACCTGCTGGTTCACTCCCCAGATGGCCGCAATGGCCGGAGGTGTGCTGATCTGAAACTAGGAGCTTCTTCCAGGTCTCCCACAGAGGTGCAGGGACTTAAGGACTTGGGCCATCTTCTACTGCTTTCCCAGGCCATGGAAGAGGGCTGGATCAGAAGTGGAGCAGCCAGAATTTGAACTGGCGCCCATGTGAGATGCTGGCACTGCAGGCAGCAACTTTGCCTGCTATGCCACAGCACTGGTCCCTAAATAAAATCTAAAAACAAAAACAAAAACGCAGGCTGAGGATAGTTACGACCCAATAAATGCCTACATGTGATCAGGGATCCTCCCCTATACACCACTGCATAGCCTTCTGGGACTCCCTCAGCCAGAGAGGATTCTCCCATAGTGCCTCATGTGTCCTACAAAACGTCTGTTTTCCCTCTAGAAAAACCACCTGTGAGTCATCAAAAACAAGATCTGTAACTGATACATTTTTGGTTCCAAAGTGCCCAATGTAAGACCAGGCTCAGTGTTTGTGGAGTGAATAAAGTCTTAGTTCTGAGCTTCCTAGCAACCAAATCAAAAGGGGAAAGATGTATGTTGTGACTCAATGTTCTTGTCTAATCAAACGAAGCAAAACAGTGGTTGCCACTACATGTGGCTAGGAGCACAGTTCTGAGTTTGATTGGAATATTGGAGGGGACCCCAAACCTTCCACGTCTGATCGAAGGATGCAGGAAGGAAAGGGATGGCAGTGATCAGGATCCCAGCAAATCACGCGGAAGAGCATTTGTTGAGCAGCCTTGGAGGCTCTGCGTGGGCCCACCAGCAGGAGACACTGGGGAGACTGCTTCTCCCAAAGGGAGATTCTAGATCTTTTTTGTGGCAAAATACACGTTCACATTTTTAAACCATTTTTAGGTGTACAGTCCTGTGATTAAATATATTCATATTGTACAGCTACCACCACCATGCATCATGCCTGTTTGTGTTTAAAAGATTTATTTATTGGAATGACAGAGTGATGGAGAGACAAAGAGAATCTTCATCTTCTGGTTCACTCCCCAGATGTCACAACAGCCAGGCCTGGGGCGGGCTGAGGGCAGGAGCCAGGGACTCCATCTGGGTCTCCCACACGAGTGGCAGAAGCTCAGGTACTTAGGTCTGCGGCCTTCCCAGGCATATAGCAGGGAGCTGGGTCAGAAGCAGAGTACCTGGGACTGTAACCAGCACTCCTCCTCCTCCTACTACTACTTCTTTTAAGACTTATTTATTTATTTATTTATTTAGGCAGAATTAGAGAGAGGAGAGACAGAAAGAGATCTTCCACTTGCTGGTTCTCTCCTCAAATAGCTGCAGTAGCCAGGCCAAAGCCAGCAGATTCTTCCGGGTCTCCCAGGTGGGTTCAGGAGACCAAGCACTTAGGCCGTCTTCTGCTGCTTTCCCAGGCACATCAGCAGGGAGCTGGATTGGAAATGGAGCAGCCAGGACAGCACCCATGTAGGAGGCCCGTGCAGCAGCTTAACCCTCTATGCCACAACAGTGGCCCCATAAACAGTAATTCCAACCGGCTGTGCCACAACACTGCTCCTGTTTTTTTTTTTTTTTTTTTTTTTTTTTTTTTTTTTTTACAGGCAGAGTGGACAGGGAGAGAGTGAGACAGAGAGAAAGGTCTTCCTTTGCCGTTGGTTCACCCTCCAATGGCCGCCATGGTCGGCGCACCGCGCTGATCCGATGGCAGGAGCCAGGTATTTATCCTGGTTTCCCATGGGGTGCAGGGCCCAAGCACTTGGGCCATCCTCCACTGCACTCCCTGGCCACAGCAGAGAGCTGGCCTGGAAGAGGGGCAACCGGGACAGAATCCGGCGCCCCAGCCGGGACTAGAACCCGGTGTGCCGGCACCACAAGGTGGATTAGCCTACTGAGCCACGGCGCTGGCCGCTCCTGTTTGTTTTTAAATAACATCCCAGGGAGTGTGAAGTCCCAGGAAGTGAGGGTTGCACGTCACAGGTCTCAGAAACCAGAAGCTGGGGTGGACATTGGGCTTAACTGTTACGACTCCACTTGGGAAGCCTGCATTCGGGTCCGGACTCTGCTCCTGATTCCAGCCTCTGCTGATGTGCACCTGAGAGGCAGCAGGTGGTGGTCAAGTGGTTGAATGTCTTGCCAACTCACCCACGTGGTAGACTCAGGTTGAGTTCTCCTGGCTTCTACCTGGCTCATCCCTGGCTGTTGCAGGCACTTGGGAAACAAACCAGTGGAAGGGACCTCTCTCCCTGCCTTTCAAATAAACTAAACGATAGATAGAAGCCAGGTGTCCAAAGCTCTGCTGATCAGCCCTAAGGTTTATCCCTGACCTATGAACCTGACTCCTTCCTGGCTTGTTCCCTGCAGGTGTCTGGCTGTAACAAACCATGCGATGAGCCATGCCCCGCCCTGGACACCCCCGCCCATCATCTGGGCCACCACGTTTGGGACCCTGGGAGCAGCCAACAGAATTATGCCTGGAGACATACGATAAGCCAGCCCAGCCTCTGCCAAGCCACCGAGCCCGTAGGCCAGACCCCAAGGACCCTGGCCATTATGGCCCCGAGAGCATTACCTTCATCTCTGGCTCCGCTGAGCCAGCTGCCGAGCCCCCTGCCTGCTGCCTGCTCTGGCGACCCTGGGTGTGGGACTGGTGCCGGGCTGCCTTCTGCTTCCGCCGCTGCCGAGACTGCCTCCAGCGCTGTGGAGCCTGTGTGCAGGGCTGTAGCCCCTGCCTGTCTGCTGGGGACTCCGCTGAGGGGGCTGCCGAAGCCAGCTGGGCCAAGGAGCACAATGGTGTGCCCCCCAGCCCTGACCGTGCAACCCCCAGCCGGCGGGATGGCCAGCGACTCAAGTCAAACATGGGCAGCAGCTTCAGCTACCCTGACGTCAAGCTCAAGGGCATCCCTGTCTATCCTTATCGCAACACCCCGTCCTCAGCCCCTGACGCGGACTCCTGCTGCAAGGAGCCGCTGGCCGAGCCCCCGCCCCTGCGGCACAGCCTGCCCAGCACCCTGGCCAGCAGCCCCCGTGGCTCCGAGGAATACTACTCTTTCCACGAGTCGGACCTGGACCTGCCGGAGATGGGCAGCGGCTCCATGTCGAGCCGGGAGATTGACGTGCTCATCTTCAAGAAGCTGACGGAGCTGTTCAGCGTGCACCAGATCGATGAGCTGGCCAAGTGCACGTCGGACACGGTGTTCCTGGAGAAGACCAGCAAGATCTCAGACCTCATCAGCAGCATCACGCAGGACTACCACCTGGACGAGCAGGACGCCGAGGGCCGCCTGGTGCGCGGCATCATTCGCATCAGCACCCGGAAGAGCCGCACCCGCCCACAGACCTCAGAGGGGCGCTCCACGCGGGCTGCTGCCCCCACTGCCCCTGCCCCTGACAGTGGCCATGAGACCATGGTGGGCTCGGGTCTCAGCCAGGATGGTAGGTGGGGCCCCGCGGGGCTAAGGGGCGGAGTAGGGGAGGCTGTGACCAAGGGAGGGATGGACCCAAGTCTTTGGCCACTGTGGGCCTACCCCGCGCCAGACCCCGTTCTTGACTTCAGCTCCCGTGTTTCCCTCTCCCCTGCTCCTAGGCTGACTCTTCCCAGGGAGCTCTCTGGCCATTGCTGCGGTGCCCAGAGAGGACAACGCTAACAGGCTCCTTCTGGCCCCTGCTCTTGGCTGCCAGAGTAGCTTCCTGGCATAGACTGGGCAGCAGGACCTGGGGACTCATGGATTTGAACCGCTGGTTTGGCGTTAAAACCTGCCCCACCCCCCACAGGGTCTCTAAGCCCTGCTTCTCGGGCCTCCCTCCTCCGGCTGGCTGGGGGTTGGGTGTGATAACAACCGTTCCTTCCCTCCCCTAGAGCTGACAGTGCAGATCTCCCAGGAGACCACGGCGGACGCCATCGCCCGGAAGCTAAGGCCTTATGGAGCCCCAGGTGTGGTCCTGATCTAATGAGTGCCTACCCTGAGGGCCCCTCACCCAACATCCTCCTGGGGTGGGGAGGGTGGGATCAGAAGGGGACAAGGGGCCTGAGCGGCCAGAACCATCCCACCCTGTAAGCTGGCTTACAGCACAGGTGCCACAACAGGCCAGTACTCAGACCCCAGCCCTTAAGCCCGGCTCTGGAGTGGACAGCAGGAGGGCAGACGGCCATCTGCTGTGGTGCTGAAAGGGCACCCTGGGTGGCCTTGGCCCTCACAACCCTCTGGGAGCAAGATCATTCCCTTTTACAGAGGGGGAAGCTAGGGTCGAGAGGACAAGGAACAAGGAACTGAGTGCGTCTCCCAGTCAGGATCGTAGCGACTCGGGCTCAAGTCCCGCTCTGCTGCTTCTCAGCAGGCTTCTCCCGGCCCTGGGGCCTGGTGAGTTCTTTCCCCTCTCAGCCTGTTTCCTCCTCTCCCTTTCCCCCAGGGTACCCAGCCAGCCGTGACTCGTCTTTCCAGGGCACGGACACAGACTCGTCTGGGGCACCCCTGCTCCAGGTGTACTGCTGACCCCACCAGGCCCCGCGGCACCACCCTCCAGGGAAGAGCCTGCAGAATAGAGGGCCCAGGACGCCCCATCTCGGGGAGGCTGGGCCAGGAACTCGGCAGTGTGCGCTCTGGCGCTCTGGCCGACTGACTCCTGGACCCTGGTTCCCACACCCTAAGGCCTCCTCAGCTAGCCTGACCCCGGCCCGGGCCTGCTCCTTCCAGCCCATGGCTTTCGGTGGCTCTCCAGAGAAAACAAAGAATTGTTACCTTCCAGGATTGAATCCTGACTCTATCCCATAATATGGCACTTGTACCAATCATGCAAACTTCTCCCTCCCAGGGGGACCCTCCAGCTAAAAGCAGTAAGTGGACTGGGTTGGGGGTGGGCAGGGCCCACTCCACGCCGTTCTGTTTTGTTGTTTGTTCTGTTAACATGACCATAGTTGGCAATACAAAGGTGGCATCATCTTTAGTCCCATTTGCCTGGCCTTACTGCTACCCAGAGTGGGAGATGGAACGTGGCTTAGTGCTGCTGTGGGGTTGAAGTCGCGAGGATGAAATGGGGGCAGTGCTGCTCCGGGAGCTCTGGAGCCAGGAGTGGCGAACGGGAGGAAGGCGGTTTTTGTTGGGGAGCTGTGCTGCGGGCCCATGGGCTGCCCTGTGCAGGCTGGCCCATCCCCAAATCCCTGACGGTCATTCCCAAACCTGCCTTGGGGCTGCTGCTCCCCTCTGCCTCTCCCTGCTGCCATCAGGGTGCTGTGGTTTTGTTACTCCAACCCTGGAGTGGGAGCAAGAACTCAGAGAAATCAAGAACACTTGTGGGTTATGTAGCTACTAACTGTGGCTCTGGAGCTGGAAGCTGACCTTAGGGCAGAAGCAGGATCCTCATTTGGACACCAGAGCCCAGCTGGGTTCAGAGGCACCCTGCTTAGCTGCCCCCATGGGCCAGTCTGCAAGCAGAGGGGCCAGGGCAGATCCACCAGCCCGTTGCTGAGTCATGAAGCAGCTGGAAGATGTTCAAGATCCCCTTACATTTAAAAACAATTTATTTTATGAGAAGAAGAGACAGTTCCTGTCTGCTGGTTCTCTCCAAACGCCCTCAATGGCCAGAACTGGGCCAAGCCAAAGCCAAGAGCTTAAGCTGCGTCTCATGTGAGTAGCACACCCAACCACTTGAGCCACCACTGCTGTCTCCCAGTGTCTGCATCGGCAACAAGCTGCAGCTGGGATTCAAACCCAGCAACACCAATACAGGCCATGGGCGCCTAGCCTCCCCACCCTTCTTACTGTCCCCGCGGGCATCCTTTCACAAGAGACAACTGAGCTATACTGCTTACCCTGGATGGTCCCTTAGGGCTATGACCTCAGGAAAGCGGGGCAGCACTGCAGGCACAGCTGTGACTGCAGCCCCTCCTCTCCAGCCCCGCCCGAGCAGTGTCTTCCAAATTCAGCCTTGGGACCCATTATTTGTATTCCCAGAAACAAGAGTTTATCGGGGAAGCATCTAGTTCAAGTCCTGTAGGATTTGGCTTGGAGTCCCATATAGTTAAACACACAAGTACTTAACAGCCCAACAATTCTGCTAGGCTGTATCCTGAGGCAGCTTTGGCATACCTGAAAAGGGGACGTTCAGAAGGATTTTCCTAGATCAAGACATCAAACTTCTGCCACCTTTGGGTAAGAAGGTCCACCTCTCTGGACCCTGGCTGACGTCACCTAAAATCTTAGCTACGTGCATGATTCCTTGGCAAAGTCCTGATGGGGCCCCAGGATCAGCCATCACCAGGGAGGTTGCCGGGTCTTGCACTCTTGCCGCCTCCTCCCAACCAACACCTACAAAGTCAGGGTCTGCAGGTCGACTAAGTCCCCAGGTGATCTCTGTGCTTTATTAAAACTACTCATTACTTTTTGTTTTTGTTCAAGACAGTTTTAGCCTATCATCTGACTGGCAAGCCACTGCTAATAAAATAGAAATTGAAAGCAAAGCAAAACAAAAGTTTATCAGGTTTGAGGAAAAGACAAACCAAGTACTGCATAGCCTCGGAAATCCTTACAAACTGTTCTGAAATTTTTGGAGGCAGACATGCTGTGTTCCGGAAGTTCAGGGGTTACCATGGCCCACAGAACGGAACACTCAGACACCCAGCTAGACCCTCCCACAGCCTCTGCGGCCTCTCCATCGAGTGGCCAAGGTGGACAAGAGGCTGGCTGTGCACCCCCAGGGCCGGGCACTGAGAAGGCCTCAAATCTAGAGGCTCAGGTCAGAGACTCACAGGGCCCCACTGACACCAGGTCCTCCTAGCCATGTCCCCAAACCACACGGAGAAGAGAACTGAGGCTGAGGTGGTCCCTGGGTCCAGGCAGTGCCACCCCAGCCCCTGCTGCCCTAGTGCCCCGGGAACACCTGGCTCAGCGGAGGACAGCCCCGCTGCGGGGGGGAAGCTGCCCGAGGAGAAGGGCCCCTCTGAGAACCTGACACATGCTCCAGTCTCTGTAGCCAGAAACTCACCTTTGCTCAGACTCCTAGACAAAGGAAAAAGCCTTGCCTTAATCTTGTCTTTAAACGAGAAATTGAGGCCCAGAGAAGGGCAAAAACTTTCCTTGGGTCACATGGCAGAATCTGGGCTCGAAGCCAAACCCTAGCTCCCAGCAGCAGCCGTGACAGGCCTGTGCCCCAGGGAAAGGCCAGAGGGAGGACACAGGTAGAGCCAGTAAATAGCTTTAATGTGTAACATTGGCCAAGTGGGGAGGACGGGACCCCCACCAGGCCCTCTCCCATGGTGCTCAGGGACCTGTGTGCCTGGGCCAGCCCTGCGCCTGCCTCAGCCCTGAGGCTCCCAAGTTCCAGGGAAGGGAGAGGAAGGAAGTCAGATGGCTGGGTCTCGGCCTCAAAAGTTCAGGGAGGCAAATGCAGGAGCTAGTTGAATTTGGCCTTGGAAAAATCCATCTCTGGATGCTGATCCATGAATCTGGGAAGGGAAAAAAGGAATAAAGTGAAACAGGCAGTCCTTTCCCCAAGCTTCCCCTCTCCCTCCCCAGTCAGGTCTAATCTCTAGAACCTTAAAGCCAGGTCGGGCAGGGGCAGGGCCCCAGGTGTCTGAGGCCCATTCCAGTCCCTGAGACTAGCGGCCAAGGTGCCAGCACTGGCACTGTTTCCCTGTAGGTGGCAATGACCATGTGTTACACCTTCCTACCTACCGTGAGCTGGCCTTGCCCTCGACATGACCTCACCGAGTGATCAGGTTAGGCAAGCCAAGGCCGCCAAGCTATAAACTTGGCTGGCTCATTCCAGGAGGGGGCAGGGCAGCTCCTGAGTCCTACTCGGTGGTCCACTCACTGCTGTCACCCAGATCCAAGCCCCCAGGCACCCACCCTCCCTGAATTGCTCACTTTTTCAGAATCTCCTGTTTCTTCTGCTCATCCGAGGTGGGCAGCCCCATGGACTTCTGCCTCTGGTCATACATCATCTTTTCCACCATGCTTCGAGTTTCACTGTCCAGGTCTGACAGCTGGGAGCAGGCAGTGACACAGATGGGTGAAGCTCGCAATCAGCCAGGCCCCTCACCTCCCTGTCCAGCTCTCCCATGCAGCCATGGCTCACCTTGGAGTTCTCGGGGTTAATCTTCTTGGTATTGATTTCAGGGTCACTGGACACCAAGCGGCTCCACCACTCCATCTTATTAATCTGTGAGAAGGGGCAGGAGGGGGCTTGCTCTGTGGGACTCACCCCTCAACCCCTGCAGACCAGACTCCTTCCCAGCCACAGCCCACACACGAGGAGCGTGCCGGGACCAGGGGGACAGACAGGCAAGACCTCTGCCCTCCCAGCGGCTCAGGCAGACAGACACAGACACAGAAGCAAACAGTTCCAGGCCAGTGTGGTGAGATTGAAGGGCAGGGGGAGGGCTGTGAGAAACAACAGTGTACTGGACAGAAAATGGGCAGGAAAACAAGAAGACAAAGAGGCAGAGGAGGACATCCCAGAGGGGAGAGTAACCAAGGGCTAGGGCACGGAGGGGTGAGAGGCAGCCAGCAGCACCCAGCTGGGCCGGGACAGGACATCCTGTGCCCCAGGAGGCTGTGCCAGGCCCCGCCCTCTACAGAGAGCAACCTTCTTCCCTGGTGCCTGTGTCCCAAGGGGCGGGCACCGGAGGCTTCCCGAGCCCCAGACTCTTCTACGATTTCTCTGCTGTTCCCTTCCCAGCACTTAGAACTTACCTGGCACAGAGTAGGTGTTCAAATATTTGTTGAACTGAATGCACACACAAACCTCATGGAAATCACTGGAGAGTGCTTCCGTCCTCACTCCACCCACCCGCTCCTAGCTAGAGGAGCCTGGACAAATCTCTGGGCCCATTTCCTGACTCTGGAACAGTGACAGACCTACTTTCAAGTCTCGCTGTGGGGGTTAAATATGCTAATTCCACCAGGCCCCCAGCTCTCAGCCCCTCCTCCTCCCAGCATCAACACCCAGGCCGGGAGTTGGGCCGCACACACCTTCTCCAGATGCACGGTCACCACCTTGCCGTCCTCAATGAGCCACGAGCTCTCCTCCACCTTCACCTCGTTGTAAAGTTCCCCATCAATGATGGCCGGCTGCCCCTTGAGCCCCACGCGGAGATGGCGCCGCTGGATGTCCACCACCACGTCCTTCCCCTTCAGCCGGAAGTTCACACGGAAAGGCACAGCCAGCTGTGTGGAGCAGAGGAGGAGGGACCACTAGGGGCTGCCAGACACCAGGCCGGCTCCCTGGCTGCCGCCCCGGCCCCGCACTCACGTCCAGCTCCGACAGGGTCTGGGTCCAGCGGTAACTGGGCAGGTCTGCCCCGTTGCCGAGGTTGGGCTTCAGTTTTCCTTTGTCCTTCTCGTCTTCCTCCTCCTCGTCCTCCTCAGCCTCCTGCTCGCAGTCAGGGGTGCTTTGCTACTTTCTTGGCACAGACTGACCCCACCCCACCCTGGGCTGCAAAGCAGAACCTGCTCCCTGCCCACTCAACAGAGAGGCAGATCCCCATGCCCTGGATCCCTGGGAACCAGAGGTAAAACCTGACCTGATATTTGCCAAGAGCCCAGGCTATCTCACCCCACAGAACAAAGCTCGTGGCTGCGTCACGGAGCCAGCCCGCCTCAGGCTGCAGTGCCCAAGCTTAAGACCAGAGGAGTTTGCCTTTGCTGGCCCAGTCCTTTGGCCACTGTCTCAGAGGAATCCTCAAAGACGGGGAGGGAGCACCAGAGAAAGCGGCAGGCTAGAGCGGCCCCTGGCCCCTGGCTAATCCCAGTGCACCTCACCTGCTTCCCCGGAGAGCCAAGGCTGCCATTCTTGAGCTGGGCCTCATGATTCTCTGCATCTTTTTTCTGTGGTAAAAGACACAGCAGTGGGCAACAAGGCCCCCAATGCCAGTGGGGATCTGGGAGGGAGAGCGGGGGCTCCCCTGACCTGGTCAATCTCCAGCTGCAGCCGCTCTGCCTCCTCATCCGTCAGTTCCTTGATCTGGGGCCCAGGGGTCTCTGACTTGGCCTCCTTGGCCAGCCTGGCTGCCCGCTCCGCCTTCTCCCGCCGCTCGGTCTCCTGCCGCGCTCTCTTCTCCCGCCGGGCCTTCTGTGCCAGCTGGTTGTGGTGGTTGAAGGTCTGTGTGATGAGCTGGGGCACAAGAGAAGACAATGAGGCACCACAGCAGGCCGCGGCCCAGGCCTGGGTGCCGCCGCATCTGCTGCTGTGGGGCGCCCGGCAAAGCACTGCACTCGCAACTCAGGTCCCCATCTGCACAATGGGGTGATGCACCCACCTCAGAGTCATAATGAGAATACCTACAACGAACCTAGCTCAATACATAGTGGCTACTTTAAAAAAAGTAAAGTTCAGTGGCCAGAGTTGTGGTATAGTGGGTTAAGCTGCTGCTTGCAGCAATAGCATCCCATATTGGCCCCAGTTCAAGACCTGGCTGCTCCACTTGCAACCTAGCTCCCTGCTAACATGCCTGGAAAAGCAGAAGAAGATGGCCCAAGTGCTCAGGCCCCTACACCCACATGGGAGATCCAGAAGAAACTCCTGGCTCCTGGCTTTGGCCTGGCATAGTCCTGGCCGTTGCAGCCATTTGAGGAGTAAACCAGTAGATGGAAGACCTCTTCGTCTTTGTCTCTCTCTCTAACTCTGCCTTTCAAATAAAATAATAGAGGTCAGCACGGTGGTGTAGTGGGTAAAACTGCTCCGGGTACTGGCTGGAGTCCCAGCTGCTCCATTTCCAATCCAGCTCCCTGCTAATGGCCTGGGAAAACAGCAGAAGATGGCCTAAGTCCTTGGGCCCCTGCACCCATGTGGGAGACCTAGAAGAAGCTCCTGGCTCCTGATGGGTGCAGCTATAGCCATTGCAGCCATCTGGGGAGCGGACCAGCAGATGGAAGACCTCTCTCTACCTTTTCCTCTCAAATAAATAAATAAATATTTAAAATTTTTTAAAAATTCAAAAAACTAAGAGGGTCTTCAGTCTTTTAAGGACCTGTTCCTTAGGGCCGGCATGTAACAGTGGGTTAGGCTGCCACCTACATGAACACCGGGTTCGAGGCCTGGCTGCTCCACCTCAAGTGCTTGGGCCCTTGCCACCCACAGGAGAGACCTGGATGGAGTTCTGGGCTCCTGGCTTTGGCATGGCCCAGCCCCAGCCATTGTGGCTATCTGGGGAGTGAACCTGCAGATGGAGGATCTCTGTGCCATTCTCTCTGTAACGCTGCCTTTCAAATAATTAAAAAAAAAAAAAAAAAAAAAAAAAAAGCCCGCTCTTCTGATGCTCTCTTGCCTGGGTGCGTCTTTGCCTGCAAGACCCCACCTCAGCACACGCAGAAGGCCACATCGCTTTCATGAGGGCAGAGGCTGGCCTGTCAATTTCAAATCCTTTCTCTCCCACTATGCCCTCTACCCCGTACCCTGCCAGCTGGCCCCCTCCACTCAAGGGCTCCCCACACACAATCCGACCCGGCGACCTTGGGTAAGTGAGCTGGGACTCTACTGAAGCCTCAGTTTCCTCATTTGCCACAAGAACTCTGACAGCACCCACCAAGAGCCTGGCACAGGCACGGCAGGTAAGCTGCCACTGGGATGCCTGCAGTCCATACCACAGTGCCTGGGTTTGAATCATGCCTCTAACTCTCCATTTCAGCTTCCTGTTAACGCATACCCTGGGAGGCAGCAGGTGATGACTCCAGTATTTGGGTCCCCGCTACCCATGCGGGAGACCTGGATGGAACCCTTGGCTCCTGGCTTTTGTCTGGGCAAGCCTGGATGCTATAGGATCTGGGGAATAAACCAGCAGATGGGAGATCTCTCTCTCTGCCTTTCAAATAAACAAATTTTAAAAAGAGCCTGGTATGGTTTATATCACATCATAGTCACATAGACAGTGTAGGCTTCCCAATACGCTAGGACTGGCTGCAGCTGGGCCTGTCAGCTGCGGGAACAGAAGTGCTATGGCCATGGTGACACCAGTATCTCTGGAGTGTGATTCTTCAGCCCTGTATCAGCATCACCTGAACCACTCAGAAATGCACTCTCTCAGGCCCTACTTCAGTAACACCAGAAATTCTAGAATGTGGTCCAGCAATTTTTATTTGTAACAAGCCCTCCTGGCCAATTCCCTCATGCACACCTGACAGTCACTCTCACATCTAACTTCTTGGTTTATTCTTACTTGGGTGCCACTATTATTTCTAAAAAGCAACCCTGGCATATGGTATCTGCCTAGAACGTCCCTGCCCCCCCCCCCCCCCCCCGCCAGGGCACCTGAGAAACTCCAGACTAGTTCTCAGGTGCCCCAGGAGAACTCGGGTTCTTCAACAGGCCCAGAACACACCCTTAGGAAATGCAGGTCTATGCCACCCCACACACAGCATGCACGTGCACGCACACACACACACACACCTGGAGGCCTCCCTGGGTGCCCACCAAGTGACCAATGATCAAGAAACCAATCTTCAAGCAGCTCTGAGCCAGAGCTGGAAGGAAGGAGTCCACCCAGAACTCAGGTTCTGCCAAACATCCCACGGTTTCCCACTCCGGCTTCTCCCAAGCCCTGGCCCCACAGCTCTGCAAGGTTAAAGGGCATTAAGAGCACCCCCTTGAAACACGCGAGCCGACAAACAGGAGCATGTGTGTGACAGGGAAACCAGCCACCTGACAGCCCTTCCGCTGTGCAGAAAAACAAAGGTCAGAAGACAAGCAAGCCAGCAGAGGCTATTCCACCACAGGGCCTTGGCCCTAATCCCGAATCAGGGAGACCTTGAACTCAAATCAGTTACCAACCACAGCCAAGGAGAGGAGGGGGCAGGGCCCTTCCCTCTCAGTGAATCACGTCCCATCCCGTTTGTCCTGTTCCTTCCTGGTTCCTAACGGTTAAGTTAGGGCACAGCAGAGTCAAGGCCAATCACAGCAGCCTCTGACCCCTCCTCCCAATCTCCTCCTGCTGGCTTTGCTCAGGCCCAGCTCCAGCAACAGACACGCACTCAGGTAGGACAGCCAACCCAGAGGCTGCCTCCGTCAAGCGTCAGCCTCTGGATACATCTCAGAACTGCACACTCTAGCAGGGTGGGGAAGGGGTGAGGCAGGCTGGGCCTGCCCCACAGACCACCTAGTGTGCACAGCTTCTCCCTGACCAGGCGTGGTGACAGGGGAGCAGAGTGGTCTGCCAGCCTGCCCAGGGCAGACCTGAGAGTTCTTTAAGCTGAACCCAGAGGCAGGAGATCCCAAATGTGTCCCTCCCGGTGGTGGTAATGATGCAAGTATCCCCCTCCATATATGAGGGAGGGAGACTATTCACTCCAAAGATTAAACAACAGTGGTGCGTTTGGGGCTCACCCACTTCCAGGGCCCCTGGGAATAAGAACTGAAAGATAGGGGCCAGTGCTGTGGCATAGCGGGTAAAGCTGCCGCCTGCGGTGGGAGCCAGTTTGAGTCCCAGCTGCTCCACTTCCAATCCAGCTCTCTGCTGTGGCCTGGGAAAGCAGCAGCAGATGACCCAAGCCCTTGGTCCCCTGCACCCATCTGGGAGATCTAGAAAAAGCTCCTGGTTCCTGGCTCCGGCCTGGCCCAGCCCTAGCTGTTGAAGCCACCTGGGGAGTGAAGCAGTGGATGGAAGATACTCTGTCTCTCTGCCTGTGCTTCTCCCTCTGTAATTCTCAAATAAATAAATAAATCTTTAAAAAGAAAAAAAGAACTAAAGGTATCAGCTTCGGAGATGCCTAGAGGAAAGGCAAGGAGAAGAGCAGACAAGCCCTCACCAAAGCAAGGATGACCCAAAATGTCCCCAACACCACAACCACCAGCACATCCCTGGGGACCACTGCTGTGATCCCAGTGCCACCGCGGGGGTTCCCAACTCTCGCCCACAAGCCAGTGCCCTCAGCGACTTTCTCTTCCTCCTGTGGTTCTTGTCTTGGGAGTGGCACTACTGTTCCTCTGGGTGCCAAGAGGAGAGGCAGAGTCATCTGTGAACCACACAGAACGCACCATGTCCTCATCACTGCAGGCTAAGCCCGTGCTCCACCCGGAGCCTGCGCCTCCAGCAAGAGTATCAGCAGCAGGTCTGCACCACAGCGCCTGTGACACTGCACCCGTATCAGAATGCCGGGTGGAGTCCTTGTGCTCTGCTTCTGAGCCAGCGTCCTGCTAATGCACCCAGGAAGGCAGCAGGTGAGGGTCCAAGCCACTCACACGGGAGACCCAGATGGAGTTCTTAGCTTCCGGTTTTAAGTTGGACCATACCTGGCTGTTGCAGCCACTTGAAGAGTGAACCAGGTCTGGCGCTGTGGTGCAGTGGGTTAACACCCTGGCCTGAGGCGCCAGCATCCCATATGGGCGCCGGTTCTAGTCCCGGCTGCTCCTCTTCCGATCCAGCTCTCTGCTATGGCCTGGGATAGCAGAAGATGGCCCAAGTCCTTGGGCTCCTGCACCCACGTGGGAGACCCGGAAGAAGCTCCTGGCTTTGGATCAGCGCAGCTCTGGCCATTGCAGCCATCTCAGGAAGTGAACTAGGAGATGGAAGACCTCTCTCTCTGTCTCTACCTCTCTCTGTAACTCTGTCTTTCAAATAAATAAAATAAATCTTTATAAAAAAAGAGTGAACCAGAAGATGAAGATCTCTCTCTTGGTCTCTCTCTTCCCTATCATTCTGCTTTTCAAATAAAGAATAACTGCAATGACATGGAACATAAATCTGCACTGGGCAGGCGTCTGGCCCAGTGGTTAAGACGCTTGGGAAATCTGCATAACATATTGGAGTGCTGGGTTTGAATCCCAGCTCTGCTCCTTACATCAACCTTCTACTAACATGCACCCTGGAAAGCAGCAGGCGATGGCTCAAGTATGAGTCCCTGCTACCTATGTGGGAAACCTAGACCAAATTCCAGGCCTAGTCATGGCTGTTGCAGGCATTTGGGGAGTGAACTAGTGGACAGAAGTTGTCTGTCTCTTTCTGCCTCTTAAATAAATAAAATACTTTAAAAAAAAATCCTATGTATGCAGGGAGAGCTGTGACACTGACAGCCCACATCACAGAGCTGGTCCAGTCCTGGCTGCCTGGCGTGCAATCCAGTCCCTGCTCATGAAGCTGGGAAATGGCAGTCAGATGGCCCCGATGTCCCTGCCACCCACAC